TATAAAAAAATTTCGTGTATGTGTAAAACATTTAAGACTGTTCAAGTATAGAAACGAATTCATTGCAACTATTATCCATCGTTTTCTCTCGTGAATAATAGACTCAACTTTCTTTACTTTCAGTTTCAATTCTGCTTTATACATGTCTCAACAATGGATGATAGCCATATCAAATGCAAGATGAAAGAGAAGCAGATAACGTAGCAGTGTTTTTTATTTACGCAATTCTACATATGAAAAAAAAAAGTGTAATATCTCTATTCTCGATAGAATCTCAAAAAACATTGAGTGTAGCGAACTTGATAAATTTCTCAATGTTTTATTAATTAATTAAATTATGTATGAATTAAATGCTAGTATAAAATCTCTGATAATCAATCAAAAAATATAATTGACGAATAAAAAGCATTTCATTTCATGGTAATATAAAATCGACAATTGTTTTTATGAGTAATATCACTCTGTTTTTGTTTTCCAAGTTGTATAAAAATCGTTTGATTACAGTAGCGAAACTGACTAAATTTTATATGGTAAAGATAAATCTGTCATTATCATGAATGATATACTATATTTGATTTCAAATCGGCTTGAAATGCTTCCAGATGAAATTTTTCTTAAAATCTTCAAGTATTTAAAACCAATTGATCTTTATAGTTTCATAGGACAAAATGAACGGATCAATAATATTATACGTGATGTTAAACTAAACATTGTCATTGAATATCCTGAAAAAGAACAAAAAGATTTCAATTATCTGAAGAGCTTTCTTCCAATTCAATTCATTCGTCTGGAATTATGTTACCCTTGGAATGCATTAGATATACACTGTTACACAAAGCTACGTTCACTGAAACTCGATTACACTCGTCTGTTGCAAAGGCAATATGCTCAAGTAAGTTGAACTAATGTGTATTGTTTGTTATACTATTGAGAATTAGATACAAAAGTACGAAACATATGTTATAATTATAGATACTCTCTGTTGAGATGCCATGTCTCGAGCGATTTTCCTTTTTTGGTGATATATCTTGTCGTGGAGACTCAATATTGCATTCTATTTTTGACACGAAACATTTTCCATCACTTAAAGTTTGTCAATTCTCAGACAGAATTCACCATACAGTAGAATTTCACAAGCACTACCAATCACCAAATAATACAATTCGTACACTTATTCTTCACATTTCCAATATATCAACATTGGGTCCTTTACTCAATCTTCTACCTAATTTACGTCGATTTGAAACGAGTTTGGTACAATGTGCTAATGAATTGTTGAATTTCAATACGTGTCACATCTCACTTAAACATCTGCGAATAAGTCTTGTAAATCCATCCAATGATCTCGAAAAGATTCTTCCACATATGCCTAATCTAAAACAATTACGTGTCACAGGAATCATTCGTGAACGATTGATATTAGAGCATTTCGAAAAATTAAGTAAAATTCTCTGTATTCATACATCTGATTTAGAAAAATTCGATTGCGAATTATATTGTGACAAAACAAATGATCAAATAGATATCCTTATCATACAACAACTTCATCCATTCTTCAAAATGATACAGTATCATGAAGAAAGTTTTTTGAAAAACTTTTGTTTAGGAAATTATCTCAAATATTGTTATGCGACTGATCTAACGGAATATTCAATTCTGAAAGAGTTCGAATGTGAGTATGTTTTCTTATTAAAAAAGAAAAACAAGACAAATGCTAATTATTCTCTTCCAGTCTTTTTCTGTTCTCTCAAATAAAGTTTTTCAGATAATTTTCGTAACGATCAATTTTGATTGATCTCGGATTTATTCATATTGAACTTGCATGAGTAATTTAGCTACTTTCTATTGTATATTTTGTTTTAAACAAATCAACGATTTTTGACTATATGAATAGAAAACTAATTAGCTTGTTCTGAAAAGAACATTAGCAAGTACTATAGTAGTTAGTATGTGCGAAAATAAGAATATCCTTTTTCTGTATCACTGTGACTCGAATGATATAGCTACGAATGACGATTTTGATATTTGTTTCAGTCTTTGATACAAATCTATAGTGTTTTTCATCAAGTACGATACCATCTCTTTTACACTACCAACGAATAACACGCATGTCTGCTGAATGTTATCCAGTACTGAGTGGATATGATACTGGTCAATATTCTGATGTTGATGATGGTTGGTTTTAATTATAGATTTCGCTATCGTGGAAACTACACTGCAAATTATGAAAATTCTCTATGAAAAAAAAACTTAGCCTATCAAAATCAAATGCTGTATATAGACAGTCTTGAAAAAACGACATTATTTATCAATAAATTTTATATAGATCAAATATTCTATTTAAGCTATGATTCTAAACAAGATGAAAGCTTTATGTGAAATACATATGTTTTTTTTTGGATATTGTTTCATTTGATCGAAAAAGTATTTAAAAAAAAGATACAAACATATGGTTTTTTTTCACGGTGATATGAAAAACAAGAGTACTTTTCTGCATACATAAAAATTTGACGAAGGAAAGGCGAAAAAGTATTTAATCAGCACACGAATTCGCTATACTAGTCGAATAAAGATCATCGAGATGGAGAAAATTAAATTGGTAATTCAAATTGGACAGCTATTGAAGCTGATCGAGCCAAACTAACAATCTGAGCTAGTTTCACTACCTGAAAATAAAACAAAAAGTAATTTATAATATTAATTAACTAAACAATAATATTCTTACTAATCGTGCACCATCATCAAGATCATCACAAGGAAGTATTTTCAATTGACTTGAAGCAATAATTGCTTTAGCATCATCAACTCGTGTACCTATTAATCCAATCAATATTTCATCAAGAAAATTTAAATTACAAATAATTTACCTTGTAATCGTACAACAATTGGTATAGTCAATTTAAGTTCTTTAGCCGCTGCAACAATACCCTGAGCAATAACATCACATCGCATAATACCTCCAAATATGTTGACAAACACAGCTTGTACCTAATCGAGTAAAACGAAATAAATCGATCGATAAATTTGAAATCAATTTTTTCGACCTACTCGTGGATCAACAGTAATTAATTCAAATGCATTTTTAACTTGTGCAGCTGAAGCACCACCACCAACATCAAGAAAATTAGCTGGATTACCACCATGTAATTTAATTATATCCATTGTAGCCATAGCTAAACCAGCACCATTAACAAGACATCCAATTTCACCATCAAGACCAATATAATTTAAATTAGCTTCTTCAGCTTTAACATCACGCCAATCTTTTTGTGCATTATCTTTGTGATCAAATACAGCATATTGACGATATTCTGAATTATCATCAACATTAATCTTACAATCCATACCTATAGAAAAAAGATTATATTCTTATTTAAGACACAAGAAAAGAACAAACAATAGATTTTTCCATCAGATCCTTCAGTTAATGGATTTATTTCTAAGAGAACAATATCTTTCGTAATAAATAAATTATATAATTTCATCATTGTATCAGCTGCCTAGAAATTAAATATAATTATTCCAATCAAAACAAGCAAAACAATCCAACAAACTTCTTCAAGAGCTTGATTACGAAAACCAAGTTTTGTTGCTATACTCAATGCATCCTTACGTTCGAGACCAGTAACAATATCAATAGGATGATGAATGATAGCTTCAGGATGGTCAGCAGCAATCTCTTCAATATGTGTACCACCTTGAGTTGATGTTATAATTACAGGACCATCAAAACGTCGTTCTAATGCCACTAAAAACGAATCTTAGAATTTCAAAAAAATATAAAACTATAAATACCGACTTGCAAAATAATATTCTCGTCGTGTAAATAATTTTTCACATAAAATTATATGATTAACAGGTTTTCCATCACGACCTGTTTGTTTTGTATATAAACGATGACCAAGCATTTTTGATGCAACTTGTTTTGCTTCATCAGGTCTATACAAAAAAAAAGAAAGAAATGTTCCTTCTTCATTGTATAAATAAATATTAAATCTTACGAAAAAGACATTTTCACACCGCCTTTCAATCCACTATCAAACGTTCCTCTACCTCGACCACCAGCAAGAATCTGAGCTTTGATAACAAGATCATTACCAAGTTCTAAGAAAAAATTAAATTAATATAATAAAAAAATAATACAAAAATATAAACCTTGACTTGAAGCTATTTGATAGGCTTGATCAATTGTTTGAGCCATGCGAAATTTCGGTACACGAATTCCAGCTTCTTCAAGTAATCCCATAGAAACATATTCATGAAGTAATAAATAAAAACGTTTTTGTACTGTTAAAATAGACTTTGTTGACACCGGTGCAAGCTACATATAAGCATAAAAATAAAATTATTTTTTTTTTGCTTTTTTTCGAATATTTTAATTTACTTTAATGAGAGAATTTCTAATAAAAGCCATTTATGTTGCTTTAAAATAATGCTCAAGTAGAATTCAATTATTCTATTTGCATCCATTGCGCTCTATTCGCTTTTGCTAATACCGATCGAATTCATTTACAAGAGGTCGCTCAATGACAACGACATTGACATTCTTAGTTGTCACTCATGTTCTAAACAATAAAAGCCTAAAAAATGATTAAGTGAATCAATCGATTAGACATTCTTTTTCTTCGTCTTCTTAGTTTTTTTTTGTTTTCCATTATCATGAATTTTTTTCTCATTGTGCGTCATCTGTCTTGCTCGATTTCCTTTTTTATTTTTCATTGTCATCTGGTGCTTTTTTTGTAATACAACATAAACAAAAAAAAATGAGACGTAAGTGTATACCAAGCAATCAATAGGAAACAATGAATCTTATCAAATCGATGCATTTATGAGATTGGAAAATAGGAGATAAGTGATTATATTATTTCCGATCAAGGACATTTATTGTCATCATTATTATCTTGATACGTCTTTTTTTCATCATTGAATTTTTCTATGGATGGTCGATATAAAAATTCTTGCTCATTGCAAAATCAAATATCTAACTGGTTATTTCGATAATGTCGAATACAAATCGATCCGATTCCTATTATGCATCAGTAAAACGAAGTTCACACCCTCTTATAACAATACCAATAGTAAAACATAGACGATCAATAACAAGTGGAAATGTTGATCGAACATCTGTCTGTAATCATGCCATATCCGATTTATCTTCAAGTGCAAGATCTACAACGATAACAGCGAGTACAAGCAGTTTTTCTATAGTTTTTGTTTTTGTTTGGTAAGTTCTAGACTTGTTCTTTAGTTACCAATTCAATTCCTAATTATCAAGATTTTCGAACTCAACAAGTTATTATGGATAATTACTCAAAACAACTAAATACTTTACCAAAAGTAAAACCACCACGTGAAGTTTCACTTCGTGTTAAATTTATTCGTCTTGGTGAAGTAAGTTTTATTTTATTTTTTTATTCTATCTATTTACTATCAATACAAACAGGTGAGTACATTACATGAAAAATTTTATGCTGAAGTTGTTATTGAAGCACGATGGTTATATGATCCAGAAACAGCTTCATGGAATCCAAATCTTTATGTTAAAAATGCACTTGGTGATGTTAAACAAGAAATTGCTAGTCAATTAGTTAATAATTTAGATGAACCTGTTTATGGTGATAATAAAGAATATGATATTATTTATGTTTGGGAAATACGTAAGGTTGCTGGTACATTTTGGGAAAAACTTGAATTAAATAGTTTTCCAGCAGATGTTCAACAACTTTCATTACAAATTGTTACAAGATATCCTATTGAAGAATGTATTTTAGTTGAAAATCGTTTTCAACCATCAATGGTTAATCGTGAAGCATTTTTAGGTAGTTTAAAAATAAAAGATAATCAATCAATAAATAGTGTTTATGTTTTGATAGCACAACAAGAATGGTTTCTTTATGAACATATTGAAACACGTTCAACAATAACAACAGAAGATTTTAGTTTTCGACCTATTCGCCAATCGACTTATCTTGGTAAATTCTTTCTGATTAATTTTAGTTTTAGTTTAGATTACAATTGATTTTAGTGACTTGTTGTGTTGCTCGTCGACCTGGTTATTTCTATTGGAATGTTTATTTACTTATTTTTCTTATTACACTTATTGCTCTTACTGTCTATGGTGTTGCACCTGAACATGCACATAGTCGTCTTCAAATTACTGGTTCATTTATTTCTTTTTTCTTTGTCACTAAAACTAATTTTCTTTTATATAGGAACACTTTTACTTACTTCTATTATGTTCCGCTGGTCGGTATCTCGTCTTCTTCCTCCTGTTTCTTACTTAACTTTATTAGATAAATATACATTGATTTCATTAGTTTTTATTTCACTCAATTCTATATGGCATTCAATAATTGCTTTTCTTATTCGAGATATGGGTATATCAAAAACGATTGATTATTATGTACTTAGTTTATTTACAATTATTTTTCTTGTTTATCATTTTTTAATGGCATTTATTTTATTTCAAGCGTTACGTAATCGTCAAATAATGCTTGAAAGTGATCGTAAATATGCATCGAAATTAGCTGGCATGTTTGAAACATTTGTACAAGGTCATCATGCTGTACAACGTTTTAGAGATAGACAAAATTCAACTCATGCATCTCTATTTGTCTAATAAATCTATTCTGCGTATTTTTTTATTTCACAAAAATAAAGTACAACAAAAAAAAAAATAATCTACATTACTTTCGTTTATATATACATATCAAATTATTATTTGTTGTTAAACAAAGATAATTCTCATTGAGACTAGCTGAAAGAAGACTAGGTATTGTAGATGTTTTAGCTTGTGGCCATGATATTTCATAACGTTTATTATCAAATGTTGGTTTTTTAAGTTTTTTATTGATTGAATTCATTCGAATTTGATGACAATAAAATGAACCATGATCACTACCAATGATACATTCAAATGACATTGTTGTTGGTGTATGATCATTTTCATTATTTGTTAAACATATTGCCATTTTCGTTGGAATCTGTCGATAAGGATTTGGTAATGTAAGAATAATATGTAATTGTTGATTTGGAAGAGTTTGCTCAAGATCGAAACAACATATTTGATCAAAACCAAGAATATTTATTGCAATTAAATGAGTTTGACTATCAATTAAACGAATTGATTCAATATGTTCTCCAACTGTACACATGGATTTTGGAAATGTTAATCTCATTGGAATTTGTTTTTGTATAATAAATAAACCTGAACTTGTACCAACTAGAAGTGGAATATTTGTTTTTGATAATGGATAAAAAAGTAAATCAGTTATATGAAGAATTGTATCATCACCATTATCAAAATTATAAACATGTGTTGAGGAAATTTTATTCACAACCATTGTTGATTCAACATAATCAAATTGTGCGGTTGGTGACGTTTTCTTACGAATAAATGATAGAAAACGATCAATATAGGATTGAATATTAAGGTAACGAACACTATGATAGGAACCAATGACTAATGTTGATGAATCTGTTGAATGCCAAGTTAAACAACTAATTGATGAACTCTAAGAATACATAAAATAAATAATTACTTATAGAAGAGTTGAAACCAGCTGGTTTTTATCGAACTTTTTAACTATTTTTAGGGGATAGAACTTAATCTATCTTACTCATTTTTATCGATTTCTATGGCATGAACGATCCAGAAATATGACTATTAAGAAGCCTAAGAATATGAAGTCTTTTGTAAAACTGTGTGTTGTCATTCATTTTATCTTCCTATCAATAGAAGAATCATTTTGCACATCGCGAAACTTTCCAATTCTATTAATTAATGCTTTCAAGCGGTCATAGATTAAATTGAACCATATCTTTATTCAAGTCAAGTATAACAAAGCATACAGATTATTCAATACCAGTTGCTGTGAGTTACTGTATGGAACATTTCAAAAGAGGTCTTCCTTCGTTTAAAGCTATTAGAAAATTCAAAAGTCATAAAAGTTTCTTCATTGAACATAAATAATAAACTTTTCTAGAGAGAACTGTCATCCATTTCAAAATATCAAAATACTTGAAAAGTTTGCTAGGTGGTTATCGTAATTTTTTTTCTTGGAAAATCATCATCTAATTCCCTTCAATAGGTGTTTTCTCAATTTCAATTTAGTAATATTATAGCTCAATATCTACTTTATAAACCCTGAAATTTTTAGGCGTTTTCGACATATCCTTAAAAAATGATGACCATTTTATTGAATTTTCGACCCTTTCTTAGGTATTTACCCAAAAATGTAATTACAGAATTTCGAACTGAAAATTTGCCCACAGATAGATCTAATGGTCCATAAGATATCCTAACAGTTTTAGCCAAAAGAACTATTTCTTTTTCGAGATACTGGATTTCCAATGTACCTTGAAAATATACCTAATCAAGTGAATCAGTCAATAATTTCCTCAAAAAAATTACTGGAACCATTAGAAAATTTTCCAAGTATTTTAATTTTTAGGTATACTTGAACCCCTCCTCATGCTCTTTCTAACGGCGAAACCCCGAGCTCGCTAACTATTAGCGTTGCCCAGTTATTCAACAAACAACTAAGTTCATTCTGTTTTTGAAATAGACACTAATTATAGTCAAAGATTTCAACCGATCACTCCACACGTAAAAAATTTTATCAATTCTAAACCTAACTTACAGGTAATTCAATATGTCCAAACATAATTTTCCATTTATATGATATAAGATAAATATGTCCATTTGTTGCACCAACTGCTAATACTTTCAAAGTTTCATTTTCTTGTGGAATTTCTATCCAACATAAACATGAAAAATATTCTCCATTTGTTTTATCATTTTTATCTTTTATCTTTCGTCCAATTGGTATTGCAGTTGAACGTAATGAAGGTACTTCATATAGATGTGTTACTTCACATGCATCACAATCAATAAAACATATTTTTTGACCACCACAACTAGCCAATATATGATTAGATGCATTTGGTTCAAATGCACACATTCGTACAGATATTGTTGTTAAATCATTATCAGATGTTTGATGACAACGAAGAAATTTAATTGGTTCAAAATAAGTTTTTGTATTCATTAAATCATTGAAATCCTCAGTTAAATGTGTTTTTAAACTTTTTTTTGATTGATTTTTTTTTGGTAATGATTCACAAAGTTCATTAATTTTAATACCAATTAAATAATTAGCTAATGGTGATAAATGTATTTGAGAAAAATTATGTTGTTTTTCAAAAATTTTTATCATAGTATGACGAAAATCATCAAGTAATTGTTTAATAATATGATTATTTTTATCATTAATTGATTCTTGTTTATATTTATCATAATATGATAATGACCATAAACGATCAATTTTTGTTTCAATTAATTGTAACCATTGATCTAACTTTAATTGATTATCATCAATTTGATCATAATTTGAATCAATAAAATGTTCAATTGTTGGACATAAATACAATGATAAAAATTTTTCAATATTTCCAAATAAATTTTCAGTTATATTTAATGTTTTTATATGTTTAAAATCTTTGAGAAATAATAATGTTTCTAATTTATTATGACTTATATTTAATTTTTCAATAAAATTCTCATGAGATTTTGACCAATCATAATTAATTGAAATTAATTGATTATATGATAAATCAAGTGAAATTAATTTTGGCAAATATTCAAATGGAAATGAATCAATTTTAATTAATTGTAAATTTGATAAATTTAATTCAGTTATTTGATTATATGATGATGATGGTAAACGTTTAGATGATATCATTAATGATATAAATTCATTTTGTGAATGTTTACGAAGACGTTTAGATGGTGATGACATGTTCTCAAATAATCTTGTAGTCAACCGATAGAGCGAAAAAAGCATAGCGTTTTAAGCGAATCAATATCAAATACACTACGCGTGGCGACCTCTTAGAAAATTAAGTGGGCCGAGATTTTCTTTAATATTAGAAGATAGAAAAAAAATTCTGTATCAAACTGTACTTTTACTTTTTTCTAAAAAAGTGATTATAACTGAGAAACAATCGATACAATCTGGCCAATAGAAACATAGATAGTCTTTAATGGCTTCAGCATGGAATAGTAATACAATACAAAATGACAGCTTCATACAATGAATTTTCCTTTAATTTTCATCTCATTGCATTTGAGTTTGTCTCTTCGCAATTTCTTTTATATAAATGAAGTCTATTTGTGAATACTAACGATCGTCTTGATCGTTAAATTTATTTTGAAATCAATTTTACGATCAACAAAAAGAATTAACAAATAAATACGATTACAAAAAAACCAAATGAAAAGAATTATGTATTGTTTTTATTGTACTTCATTTGTTGTCCATAATTTTTTTTAAACGTGTAGCTGAACGTGGTTTTGATTTAGATTGTCCCATAGGTGTTTTCTAATAGAAATCTGAAACAAAAAGTCAAATGACACTGTATATTTGCAATCAAAGTGTAAAATGACACTTTGTTTTTTAAACAGTGTCACAAAGTTTCCAAAGTGCAGTGTTAGAATTCGATTAAAGAAAAAGAAATATATAATATTAATTTGTTACAGGTATTCGACTGACAGAGAGGCTCACATCCCGCTCTTGTGAAATTCGCATTTTTGTCAAGCGAATTCTTCAGCGTTTTATTCAGATTTTTATTTTCTAATTTTCAAAAGACCACTGTAATCTACTTAATCTGTTGAATCCAGGAGCCTTCCAATCGCGGTCCTGAGTTGTCGATCCCCCCATACTTCTCCTATATCTTGAGACATCAAGACTAGGAGAGGCAGTTTAACTCTGAAAATACTGATATGAAAGCAGACTTTTCCAGAGATTTGTTTTTGAGAAAAGAAGATAGCTGTTTCAGGGTAAGTTATTTTTTAAAGACTATTTTTCATGAAGTTTCACATAGATTTTCTCTTGTGAAAAAAGAATTTGTTTACAAAAAGAATTTCAGAAACAAATTACGTTAACTTTGAAGTAAAGTTAAAGTACCACTCCTGATTGAGGCGCTTCTCTCAAATGTCTATGTAAGATCGAATAGAAAATATACAGCTTTTAGTAATTAATAGCGTTCGATGAACAATTCTTTTATCTAATATTTCATAGACGGGATAAAACAAAAAAGAGATAAAGATGGATACTAGTTTACTTTAAACATGAAAAGCATATATATAATCTGTACTCAGAGCATTGTTGACGGGTGAGGACTATATGTATAAAATAAACTAGTATCCTGTACTAAAATCCAAATACATCTATTAGTTACATTACTGCGATTTATACTTGTCTCGATCAATAGTGATTCGAAAAACATTCGCATAAGTTACCTAAAAGGGCCTGTCAAGTATAAGAGAATAACAATAATTGAAATGTAGAGAAACGTTCCAATAAATCCAAATACTAACTAGAAAATGTCAGGATAATGAATACATCAAAATTAATCACAAAATTCAGAAGTTGGGTTTGGGAGATGTTTTCGACGAGCAGCAAAGTATAAATTATTCTCAACAAGGGTCGGCTTGACACTTTGTTGTCATCAGCAAAGTGTCAAGCACAGTGTCAATCGAATATCGCAAGGGTCTTGGACACTTTGTAACAAAGGCTGGCCCTTGCTGTTAGAAACACTGCAGTATTTCACAGTGACGAATCCAGAATTTTGGAAGGGGGGGGGGTGCGATCATAGGCAAAAAACACATTTTCAAGTGCATTTGAGGTAGTATGAACTTATTTTTCGTTCATCTTTGCTGGGAAAAATCGAAAAAATTTTCTCGAAGGGGTGCGATCGCTTCGTCGCACCCGCCCCCTCCCCGCCAAATCTGCCACTGGTATTTCGTCATGTAACATGGTGTTTTACAAAAAAGACGAGAAAAGTTTTTTATAACAAACAAAAAAAAATATATTAATTGCAATCATAATCCCAAAATACTTTTTTATGTCCAGAGATATAAATTTAGAAAGGGAATACAAAATAAAGGAAATTATATTTTATTATACAACTAGAAAATTATACGTAAGAGGTCATAATGTATTGTCGCATACTTGTAGTCATAATGATATTTACACAACTAGTCTAATTCTGGTCTAGAATCAAGATGTATTTTTTTCACCAGATGTACACAGTACATTTTACTTTTTTTTAGCAAAGTGTAAATCAGGATGTAAGTCAAAAGCAGATGTTCTGTACATTTTGATTTTGCTGTGTACATCTGCTATTGGAAATACTGTCTGCATGCATATAACAATAATAACATGAGACCCTGTTCTCATTGGCTGTCGTGTTTCATTGCTCCGTATCGGTCTACTTAATTAATAATTTTCTCGAGAAAAAAAAGTTAGGCCGAAAAATCTGACTTCATGTGATGATTTGTCTTTTGTCAAGCTACAATTTGATATAAAGTAGTCCCTCCGAAAAAGTGATCGGAGTATTTCAGAAATTAGCGCCACTAAGTGCATAAGCGCGTTCGCCATTTGATATTGATTTAATGTTTTTTCTCGATTTGTCTGTAGACTATTGCTCTTTTTTTCTCTTTTCAATATAATTCAGTTTGATTTATTGGAAATTATGGAAATTATTTTTGAAAATTACAATTTATGAAAGACAATGACTAGTTAAAACAAGCAACACACTCATCTGACAAAAAACATGACACAGTGTACTGATTTAGAATGTGTTGAAAAAATAAATAATCACAAAAGAAAAAAGGAGAAAAGAAATCATTCATTATCTAAATTTGCTGTCATAGTAGTTATTTCATTAATAAATGATTCAGCAAATCGAGCTGCTGCTTCTTCCATTGCCTGAAATTTGAAAAAAAAAGTATTTAAATAAATAATGAAAAATAAAATGCATACAAGTTCATCTTGATCGTTGCGTACTAAACTTGTTAGAAATTGAATTGGATTTGAAATTGTTTTACGATTTGAAGATGAAATACCATCAACAGAATCAACATCAGGATCACGAATAAAACGACCTAGTGGATCCACATAACCCATAGAAAATTTTCTAGACGAAAACAAAAACAATAGAAAGTCGTCAAAATATTCTTTCAAAAATTTCATTTTAAATCTTACCCTTTTAATTTACTTGCAAGTTCTTGATTAAGACTTGCAGTCGATGATGAAACACTTGGATTTCTTTGTCGATTTGATTGTGTAGTTGTAGCTACTGGCGGAGGTGATGATGATTGTATTACATTATCCGAATTAGTCGATGTTGTATCTATTTCATAATTATGTTTGATTTTTTACTAAAGAAATTCTTACCAGATTCAATTGTTTTTACTGATCGTGACATAAGTGCAGGATCTTCATTACGCAATCTTAACATAAGATCACTAATATGTCGATAAAAAATAACACTTTGTAAAAATCGAGGAAAATATTCCTAATAAAATGAAAATCTTTCTAGAAATAACAAATATTTTTCATTCAAGTTTTTAATCTACACGTTGTAATATAACATAAACAATCCATGCAGTTTGATCAAATGTATCACTTGATGGACCAGCATCTGTATCTGGTTGACATATACTACATTCAATTCTTGCACGAATAGCATCGTCAAATCCTAATCTTGATGATGCTTGTAATGATATATATCTATATAAATGACATATTTATTTATTTATTTAAAATTAATAATTACTGATCATAAATAGCTATAGCATTTTCAACTAATGTTTGATTATCTGTCATTCGATTAATTATACTTCGATAAAAATGTTCAACTGCAAGCCAAAAATGAATTAAATCTGTAATTTTTTCTTGTTCTGCAAACTAAATCAATAATATGAATTAAACTACAAATTTTTTTTCTTTTTTACCTCCATAAAATATTTTAATGATGAACTATTATAAATAATATCATGTAATTGTAATTGATGACTAGTTAACATTTTAATTTGATAATTTATATGAAAAGCACTTAATAAATAAGTAGGATATGCACTAAACAAACAAAAAAAAGCAAAGTTCAAAATTGATCTAATTTTTAATTTAATTAAAACAAACTTTTCTTCAATTAATCTCCATGCATATTCTCTTGCCATTTGAAAACAATTTGGATCTGATTTTGTACTATTACTTGATGGGCAAATTAAGGCTATACAAAAAAAAAAAATTAAATTAAAGCTATAAAATAATTCATATAAGTACAAAGAGTTATTCGTCGAATTTCATCATCAATTGGAATTAAATATTTAGCATCTATTGATAAATATCGATGAAATAAAGTTAAGGCTGCTATTTGTTGATCATTATTTTTATTTGATAAATTTTCTCGAGCTATTTTTTCATATGTATGAACATCAAGAATGAATTTTAAATATGATGATAATGAACATGATTCCATATAAAGAATAAAATAATTAAGTTCATCATTTGGAGTATAAACAAGATTATAAAGTGAACGATGAAGACGTGAATGACGAAGTGATGCAAGTTCAGATGATATTGTACAATGACCTTAGAATTAGTTTTTATTTTAAAATAACAAAAGAAATAATAATCATGTTTTTGTGTTTTTTACCCGATTGAATAGCTAAATCTCGATAGTATGGCCATTGTTGTATACCGAAATGAATTTCCGAACGATTTCTACTTTGACTACGGTTACGTGTTTTCTCTAGGTGAGATTAATTATTAAAAAAAATAGAGAATAAAGAAATTTAAAATAAAAAACTAAAACCTTTATTGCTATTATTGAATGCACGGAAAAATGACATGATTTTTATTCTTATATCTAAATATTGTAAAAACAAAAGTGATGAGCTATAGGATCGATTTTCTTCTTTCCTTTCTTTTTTTTTTTCTTTCTTTCATTC